CTGGGCCAGTAAGATGCAAGAAATGGAAAGAGTTAAATCTTGTAACTGCTCCTGTTTTAACACATGCATCTGAGCAGGGCAAGAAAGGAAACACTTTCTTGAAATGAAAATAACATGATTGGATGGTGGAACAGAGAACTGGAATGAGTGAATACAGGTGCTTTAGCTGAGACAAATTCTTTATTTCACTGAAATTTAGAAGCACTCAAATCAGATTTCTGTATCAGTTTGTTGTTGTTCTGCCAAGAAATTAAATCTAGGAACGTGCAGGTGTTACTGAGGTGCTATCAAATTGGACTGCCTCAAAAATCTTCGGGGAAGTAGGTGGCATATGAATAATCGATATGTAACTAATCCCTTTTTAGAGAAACTGGAAGAAAAACAAAAATACGGTGTCAACTCCCTCATATTGATTGTTTTTTTTACTTCATGTTCCCCCTCCCGTTTCTTATTATTGCCAGGAAGCTAGGTGACCTTTCTGTGTTTAATTACTCAAAAGAAACACACAAGAAATGAACGCCAGGGGGAAAGAGTGTTCTCTATCGCTGAATGTCTTGTCAGAATAACCACCCCCAAGCTCTTTCTTATCTCTGTAAGATGGGTAATGCTTGTTCGAAATGAACAGAAAATAAAATGGAGAAAGCAAGTGGCTCTAAGGCCAGAGAAAGCGGAATACAGTGGGGTCAACTCAGCAAAAGATGTCTCTACATGGAAGAGGCTCAGTGTCATTCTTTGGAATACGGTGGTTCCTAAGTGGCACATTCCTGGGAATTCTTAAAATAGAACCCTGAGATTTCTATCAGGGAACTCTGAATAATTAGATCCAGTTAACTCACCTGACTGCATGGCTATTCCCAACCTGGTTATTGCATAGACAGAGCCTCTGATATAAACAGTTCTGAAGAGAATGAGAAAGATCTTTCATAGGTGTTGCTACTCAGTCAGGTGTCACACTCCACTCTCTCCAACAAGCACAGAGGAAGTAATACTAATTTCTTCTCTCATAATTTTATTTGCGCCCAATGCCTTTGGTGCCTAATAAAGCTGCTTTACTGCCCCGGATCATTTTATGATGTAGCGACTATTTTATTTCATTATTATGAGGCTTGATAAGAGGTTCAGGGAGTGACACCGAAGAACTTCAATTTGAATTATAAGATTTCTCATTTGCAGTTTGGGCACTGAGACAGAACAACTCAACTCCATTTCACAGCCCTCCATCCAGAGTCCACACTGACAGGGAGGCAGTTCCGAGGCCTTGAGCATGGGCACACCAAGGGGCACCATGCAAGTTTATAGAGAAACAACCTGAAATTAAAATATTTTAGTGGGAGTTAAGAGAACAAAGCAGTATGGAAAGGGGTGAAGAGCCAAAGAAAGGAATTATGTCAGTGTTAAGGGCTCCAGTACTTGAGATATTCATCCCTATTATGCCATTCTAAAAGCAAACAGTATGAAAGGGCACACTTCATTGTGTATGTTTAATTAGCCACCTCAATGCTATAACTCTCCAAATTCATTTGTTGAAATCCTAAGCCCAACGTGATGATAGTAGGAGGTGGAGCCTTTGTCAAGGTGATTAGAGCAAGAAGGCAGAGCCCTCATGATTGGGGTTAGTGCTCTCATTAAAGAGATCCCAGAGAGCTCCCTCACCCTTTCCACCATGTTTGAGCAAGGACTGAGCAAGGAGACTGCCTAAGAAGCAGGACCTCCCTCTCTCCCTCCGTAGACACCAAATTTGCCTTGATCTTGGACTTCCTTGCCTCCAGAACTGTGAGAAATGAATGTATGTTGCTTATAAGCTCCCCAACCTATGATTTTTAATTATAGCAGCCTGAATGGACTAAGACTACTCAGTGACTAACCCAGATTTATGGATTCTACCAAATGGATACCAGTCACAGCCTGGCTCCCCAGGCGACACTGTTAAACTCAGACCTAAACACCTGGTTGAACTGCTTCACATTAATTTCCCTTTGTCTAAGCAGCTTATCGGTTGTGCTAAAGGAAATGAACATCCTCATTTTTCCTGCACTGGACATTTTCTCTGGGGTACCAGCCACTGGAGGAATGATGATCATAGAGCTTCTTGATTAAACTCACGATCTCAGCTTTCTGGTCATAAGAGCTAGAAGTTGCATCTTTAAGTTCTAGCCTGAGAATGAAGCAAATGTCAAGATTTCTCAGGAAATGTGACTTTTTTTATCTTGCTCACAAAAAAAGCATTGTTGTTAAAGCTGGTCGAGAAAATTGATTTCAAGGGCTGAGATAGTGATTTTTCACCTGTACCAAGAGAGCAAGTACTTTTTTTCCAGTCTTTTTTTTTTTTACAGGCAATCATTTAACTTTGCCTATAGATGTCAGTGTCCCAGGAACCTCCTCTGTACATGTTAGAAATGGTGTTGAGAAGTTCCTACCTTCTCCTTATCACCCCCCGCCAACAAATGCCCCTTGTCTCCAATTTCCATGTACAAGAATATCAGTTTTCATGTCTCAGCTTGAGATTCTTGATTTAAATCCCTGATTTATTTTTACTCCTGTCCCCAGTGCCAATGTGGGAGAGTTCAGACATGTTTTCATATTCACTGAGATGTAGAGAAATTAAAGAAGAGGCAGATTTTTCATATCAGTCAGTTAAAGACTAATTACAACTGTGCTTTCCAGCAAACCAGTGATTGTAGGCTAATTTTCAGTTATGAAACAGAAACTGAGGTTAATGAGGCTAATTCTGTTTACCAGAATTTTCGAATAAAAGAAAGAAGCCAACTCAATTTTGAAGAGACTCCTTTGTCAGGAACAAATTGGGCAAAATTGCTACAGTTGTATCAGCATTTCCTAAAACTGCTAAGTACCATGCTTCGGAAACTGACATCCTTGAACACAAGCTAACAGTCCAGAAAATCAAGTCCTTAGACAGTGAGGCTTTCCTGATCCAAGGTTATTGCTGCATGACAGTGATAGCTGAAATCTTGAAAGCAATCCCACACGGAGACATCAAGTGGCTAGCCCTCGATTCTGTCTTCTCGGGTAAGGGGGAGACGCAGAAGGAATAAGCATATGTTGATATCTGATAAACCAATATTCTGGCTTTGCTGACCTCTAAAGTTCGAGGAGCCACCTGAGAAGAACACTGCTTCCAGCAGGAAAGTCATGGGTAACCCTGACACCCTAATGTGAAGTCACTGTCTCATGTTTTGGATTGCTCACAAATGGTAATCCCTACCTCCCAGCAGTTCCAACGAGCAAGAAGATTGGCTATAAAAACTCCTGGGTAAAATCATCATTCAAGAAGCCAAAGTTTCCTGAGGCCATGAACAGCTACCAGGTAACAGAACAAGCATTATTTAAATACCAAGTTCACAGGAAAAAGAGAAATGAAAGGCCAACGTTTCCCACGAGGGCCCTATGCACTTGGTGTGAAGGCTCCTCCCCTTTGTTGATGCTAAACCCTACGGCACAGTTAGTTGTGCTCTAGAAGAGGTTGCTATGTGGCCACCAGCATCAGATTATTTTGGTTCTAAATTTAGGTTCCAAGATCTCAATGTTTCTAATGAGGCCTCTATTAGAGGATCCTTTGGAGGCCTTAAGCAGACTCTAGTGATACAGTAGCTTTAAGGCGGACAGAAGTATTTTGAAATGCATCACACTGACTATTATAATTCTGTAAAATATACCCTATTTTGAAGGATATGGGGTCCCTCAACTTCAGATTGTTCAAAGTAATCACAGACTATTGATATTTGTAATGATGATAATGTGTCCCGATCCAGCCAGGACTAATGGTGCAGATGACATCTGCCTGAGGAATACAAGAGAAAAAGATGACAGGACTTACACTAAAGGAGTTTACTCTCTTCCAGGGAGACCAGACCCATCCACAGGTGACAAAATTGGGCATGAAATAAATTGTATGTTGTAAAGGACAGTCACATTATGTGTAATTACATGCCATAGTACAAGACACTGTAAGTGCTAAAAACAATCAGAAATCAAAGATAATTCACACTCACCAGGGCTCAGGTTCAAATGCAGTCTCTTTTATGGTCTCATCCCTCTAGTCACTGTTAGTCACTTTTTCCTCAGAGTTCCCAAAAGACAGGGTTCCAACCAACCTGCCTCACTGGTATACTTGTCTATCTAAGTAGTTTTTTCTTTAAACTGTAAGCTCTTTGAGGATAAGGATCCTAACTTGCCCTTATATTCTTCATAGCACATAATAATGACATAAAATATACATTCAATAAATATTTAATAAAATGCAAATGAAAAAAGGGGAAGATATTTGTGTTTTCTAGAGGTTACTGGAGAAACAGTTATGGAGAATATAAAAAATAAACCAGAGCCACAGGAGCTAGAGGGATACAAATTTAGATAAGGAAAAAGTTGACTGAGCAAATACAGAGAAAGTAACAAACTTGTTTGAGTGGTAGAGGTGGAGTGGGGAATCAATAATGAGAGATCTGATGATAGATGAAGAATTGTCATAGGTGGATGAAGAAAGCTGAGACAGATTTTAGAGAAAATAAAGTATAAGAAGCTTAGGTTTGCCAAAATTCAATTCATTGATTCTTTATATCCTTCTATGAAATGCATGAAGGTGTTTCTGGGATGGGTTTATGTGAGCTCAGAAAAATGTTATGATGGTGAACTTGCAAGGCTGGATGCCTGCTGCACTGGTCCTCTAGAGGCTGGAGTCGTAGGCTGCGTAGGTCAACAATGGAGGTTCGGAAGTAACCTTGTGTACAGGGATTGCTCATCAAAAGTCAGGCCAAGACACTGTTTATTGTGGGGATCCAGGCTATGTCTGTATCCACAAAATAGCCTGGCCAACTCTGATTAGTCTAAACTGCCTGACAAACTAACATGGTCTTGGCTCTTAGGACCTAAGTACTGGCTCTCTAGAATCAACAAGGTTAATTAGTCATTTTCCATTGCAGTAAATTTTTGGATATCACAACCTGTGCACAGTACAGATTTTCACATTAAATTTTCCTACTCACTCATGGGATCCGCAGGCTCAGTCCAGGAGAAAACAAGCCTATGATGATGCTTGTTTGCAAAAAAGACTAGAAAATCCTCTAGGGATGGTGGGCTAGCTACTTTGTCTGTGGTTACAGGCCTGAGTGTGAACATCCCTATTCATACCAAAAGCCATTTGGTCACAATAGGGCTTTGAGATCACTTGAATTCTGACATTCTACCCAGCAGTCTTCAGAGTGTTCCATAGCAGATCCAGCCCATGGGTAGTTCACAGTGGGCACAGAGCCTCAGCTCATTAACATTTTATGTGTATGAGATAACTGCATCTTGTTTCTGAATAGAAAACTAGTACAGAGTGGCACCCAAATTTCCCCATGTCCAGGCATTCTATGCACTATTGTTTGCAAAATTATAACAAAATCATGCATTCTTATCATTTTATAACAGGAGAAGGAGGACAAGGAGGAGGAAAATAACTGGGGAGAAGAAGGAGTAGGGGGAGAAAAAGAGGAGGAAAGAGAAGGAAGAGGAGAAGGAGGAGGAGGTCATCACTGTGGCCACCACCACCAAAATATAGCCTGATTGTTTCTTTTATTTCCCAATCCAACATTTTGCAGAAGACTTTTTAATCTCCATCTTTATACTTAGAATTTAAAAATATTCTGAAGATCGAGAAAGAAGTAGGCGAATTCCCAAGACAGACCCAGCCCTTATGCTCCTCACAACCTGCCCACTATTGGCTTTCACAACCTTGAGTCCAACTCCAGTCACTTCATACCACCTGTCGCTCCCCACACATGCCCTGTGCTTTCCTGCTTTGTTCCCTCTCCTAGGCTGCAGCCCCCACCCTCTGCCACGTTCTAGAAGTGCACAGCATTCCTGAAGGCCTGGCTCAAATACCATCTCTTCTGGGAGGCAGGCAGAGCTCCTCACTCCCTCCACAGCACGCCCACCCCTGACACTGAGCACACTTGTCCCCTACCTAATTTGTCATGTTGTCATGAAGTTAGTGTTTTGATGAATGTATCCCTTGCTTCTTTGTGAGCTAAGTGAAGACATAGAATGGACTTTACTCTCCTCATAGCCTGGCATAAAGCAGGTGTGCAGAAATAACATTTACTGAATGAATGAATGCTTGTATGCAGGAGTGAATGTATTAAACACTAAAGTTGAAGAAAGAGCCCTGCATTTTCATCTGAGAGAAATGCTTTCTAAATCAGACAAGGACAGATTCTTCCATGGCTTTAAACGTCTCTTTGGGCTTAGAGCTGAAGGTTTTGAACTTAGTCTTAGAGAACTTTGGTAACCAACATGATACAAAGAATCTAGGATGATATAAAAAGAACCAAAGGCATGTTTTAAAACTCATCTGAGAAAGGAGAGAGCAAATTTGCTGTTGTAACAGAGTAGACTCCTATTGCTGCATATTTGTGTGAGTGTGCACACGGGAGGGCACACCTGTGTGTGTGTGTGGGCAGTGTGTGCATATGGGACAGGAGTCAGGGCATAAGGAATGAAGAACACATGGAGAATGCATTGAGTTGATAGAGTTAATAACAGACTCTCCACAATTACAAGTAGTATTTACATGCTGAAAATAATCATAAAAATATAGAAAATTTGCAGATTTCTAGAAACAACTTTAACCTTAGTCCTTTAAAAGCGCAAATAAAAATATGGACTGATTATGATTGCAAAATTCACTCTTCTCCATATCATCAACTTTACTTTTTTATATCCTTCTATTTTCAACAAAAAAATGTTAATATTTTATCTCCTGGGTTTAAAGCAGGAGAATGCCTACTTGTCTAGCTGGGTTCTGTCTTCTCAACATTAGGAAGGCGAGAGCTTAGCATCAAATAGGTTTAGACCTCACAAAGGCATTCGTGACAACAAACAGGAAGTAAAATGTACAGATATGTAACAATATGTACAGATATGTAACATGTACAGATATGTAACAATATGAGACATTACTACAGTATGTCTGTATTTACAAGGTCGACTGCATTATGCAGTATAGAAAATTGGTCTACTTGTAAATGTTACGTAAGTTCATATACAATTGTGTAATTATAATTTGGTTTCAAAAACAAGCTGCTGAGCTGGGTGTGGTGGTGAGGCGCTGTAGTCCTAGCTACTCAGGAGGCTGAGGTGGGAGGATGGGTTGAGCCCAGGAATTTGAGGCTGCAGTGAGCTATGTTTGTGCCACTGCACTTTATAGCCTGGGCAACAGAGTGAGACCTTGTCTCAAAAAAAAGGTGACAATTAAAATAAGCTGCCATCTCTAACACACATTATGCAGATTGTAATGAGTGTAATATGTTATGGAGGGAAAAACCTCAGGTAGGCCTAGTTCCTACTAACAAAACTGGAAACAAATGGTTACAGAGTATCCCTTGCCTCAAATGTTTTCACTACTTTTTCTCTAAAATTATTGGAGTAGTTGCCTACATTCTCCAGTTCTCTATGTATGTGTAGCTATAGATGAAAACTTGTTTGCTCTGAAAACAAAATGCTTTCTAAAGCATTCACTAATGCTTTCTAAATGAAGGTCAAGAAGAAGGAAAAAAATAGTATGTTTTGTTGGAGGAATGTTTCAAGTCTAATTAAATTACAGCACCTCATGATTCAAAGGGTCTTCAGGGATTGTCTGATAGAAGTCTTCATTGAATTATCAAATCCTAGCCCACAAGAACTCTTCTAATGACAAGAAGTGCAGGAGAGAACATCTCATTTGTTTCCTGAAAGTTCTGATTGTTTAAAGTTCTAAGTACAATCTGCCTCCTGAACATTCCATTGTAGTTTTTTGATCTGGAGCCAAAAAGAAAGCTTCCTCTTTTACATGTCAGCTTTACCCACCACCCTCAGCCTAGAGGAGAATTAAAGTTGCTTGGAATTTGCCACTCCAAGAGTCATGTTCTACCTGAATGATAATATCCCACTAGGAGAAAATCAGGGCAAGTTCATGGTCAGTGCCAATAAACCTTTCAGAAGTTATGGACTGAATGTCCAAATTCCTATGTTGAAGCCCTAACCCTGAATGTGAAGATAGTTAAGTAATTAGGTTTAGATGAAGTCACAAGGGTGGGGCCCCCATGATGGGATTAATGTCCTTAAAAGAAGAGGAAGGCAGCAGAATTCTCTCTCTCTTTCTGCCATGCCAGGTCACAACTAGACGTGGCAGTCTGCAAGCCAGGAAGAGGGCCCCTACCAAGAATTCAGCCATACTGGTACCCTGATGGTGTGCTGCCCAGCCTCCATAACTGTGAGAATAATTGTCTGTTGCGTAAGCCACCCAGTCTGTGGTATTTTGTCATAGCAACCAAGTAGACTAATATAAGAAAAAAACCTATAAGCCTGCTCTGTCCAATATGGTAGTCATCAGCTGCCAATTGTGATTATTGAGTGCTTGACATATGGCTGATCTAAATTGAGATGGGCTGTAGGTGTAAAGTACAGAGCAGATCTCAAAGACTTAGATGAAAAAAGAATGTAAAATATCTCATTAATTTTCTACATTGATTACATGTTGAAATAGTCATAGTTTGTACATATTGAATAAATTAAAATATTTTTATTAAAATCCGTTTCTTTAGTTTTTTTGTTGTTGTATAATGTGGCTGCTAGAAAACATAAAGTCATATGCGTGACTCCCACTATAGTTTATAGAAAAACACAACTCTAAAGGCAAGCAGCTGTTCACAGAAGTGAGAAATGCAAGTGTAGCCTGGCCCCTGCTTTATCCTTTATTACTTCCACCTTTCCCCAATCCCATTGGCCCATGTCCCTTCTTTTCTGCATATTTGTAGCAAGCCTTGCCCTTGTCCCCATTGATGTCAAATGAAACTTCAAATTTGTATGTGGCTCCTCAGTTGAGTACTCAGAACTCAGGACCACATGTTTGAGGTCCTGAGTTTGAGAACTCTAATGATACAGTAATGGCCCTCAATATGCTAAGCTCCATTCACTCAAACACTCAACAATTTTTTTTTTCAGTTACCACATGCTAGGTACTATGCTAAGTATTGAGAGTAGAAAAGCGAACGAGATAAAGTCCCCTCTTTTGGGGATGATAGATGTTAGACACATACATGTACATACACATGCAATAACCTATCAGTTCAAGTTGTGATAAATTCTATGGTGCAAGTAGCATGATCAGAGGATCTTGTTTACCTTGGAAGTAACAGGGAGGGTTTTAAGGAAGTGGAATGAAGGGAAGATCTGAAAGGCAGGAAGGAGTCATCGAGGTGAAGACTGAGAGAAAGAACTTTTTCGCTGTGTGATGGCCTCAAAGTGAGAAGGAGCTTGACCATGTTCAACTAAATGAAAGGAAGTCGATGTAAGCAAAGGGCTTGGGGTCAGGAGAACAGGCCAAGATGAGGTTGGAGATGGAGACAAGGCCCACATCAAAAACCATTGCAAACCATGTCAAGAAATTTGTACTTTAAGTGTACTGACTGCCAACTGATAGAGTTTAAATTCAACAGAGGCATGATGACAACTGCGGTTTGTTTTTTTTTTTAAATGATTATTCTAACAATCAGGTGCAGCTAGACTACAAGGGTCTAAGAAAGAAAGCAGAAAACTAGTGAGACTATTTTTGGTGTTTAGGAAAGAGATGTGGGTGGCTTAGTCTTGAGGGAATAGAGACTTACACAGTAGATGGACTCAAAATAAAACCTATAGAACTTGGAAGAGACTGTATAGAGTGATGAAAAAATAGAGATGGAGGATTGCTCCAAGTTCCTGGTGTCTGCATTTGGAAAGATTAAGATGTATTCACTGAGCAGAAGAAGGCAGATGAAGGAACACTGAAGAGAAAGATCAGGAGTTCAGTTTAAACAGTCCAAGAACTCTTCTTGGCATGTCATGCACACTATGATTAAAAAGGGCCAGATGGGGTGGAGGTCAAGGATATGGTGAGAAGTGTAGTAGTCATGACCTTTCTCACAAATAAGAATGAACAAATGTTTTGACCTATCCTGCATTAACAACAGAAACTAAGAGGCATACTTCAATAAAGGTTTCAGAAAGAATCTTGAAAAACATAAAGAACAGTCTTCTGATGACAAAAGTTATGACCAGGAGTGAGTGTGTGAAATTAGCCTGACTGCTTTTAGGTATGACTGCCTAACTCATGACCAAGGGAATGCGTGCTCACCGAATGCAATAAGATTAAAGCTGGAGGCACTGGAACTAGCCATCAAGCTTAGCATTTGTCCTCAGAGCTTCTTCCCAAATGTTTACAAAAATGGTTAAGAATTCTGAACCTAAGGCCATGCACAGTGGCTCACACCTATAATCCCAGC